TCACATAGTCCCATATTTCTTGGAAGCTTTGTTCATTACTCTTTTTTCTCTAAACTTCTCTTCTCGCTTCATTTCATTCATTCATTTCATTCATTTGATCTTCAATCACTGACACCCTTTCTTCCCATTGAAACAATTGGTTACTGAAGCTTGTGCATTCATCACGTAGTTCTTGTGCCATGGTTTTCAGCTCCATCATGTCATTTAAGGACTTTTCCACATTGGTTATTCTAGTTAGCCATTCATCTAATCTTTTTTCAAAGTTTTTAGCTTCTTTGTGATGGGTTCGAACTTCCTCCTTTAGCTTGGGGAAGTTTGATCGTCTGAAGCCTTCTTCTCTCAACTTGCCAAAGTCATTCTCCGACCAGCTTTGTTTCATTGCTGGCGAGCAGCTGCGTTCCTTTGCAGGTGGTGTGGGGGGCACTCTGATTTTTAGTATTTTCAGCTTTTCTGCTCTGTTTTTTTCCCATCTTTGTGGTTTTATCTACCTTTGGTCTTTGATGATGGTGACATACAGATAGGGTTCTGGTAAGGATGTCCTTTCCGTTTGTTAATTTTCCTTCTAACAGTCAGTACCCTCAGCTGTAGGTCTGCTGGAGTTTGCCGGAGGTTCATTCCAGACCTTGTTTGCCTGGGTATCAGTAGCGAAGGCTGCAGAACAGTGAATATTGCTGAACAGCAAATGTTGCTTCCTGACTGTTCCTCTGGAAGCTTCGTCTCAGAGGGGTTCCCAGCCATGTGAGGTCTGCCCCTACTGAGGGGTGCCTCCCAGTTAGACTACTCGGGGGTCAGGGATCCAGTTGAGGAGGCAGTCTGTCTCAGATCTCAAACTCCGTGCTGGGAGAACCACTACTCTCTTCAAAGCTGTCAGATAGGGTCATTTAAATCTACAGAGGTTTCTGCTGCCTTTTGTTTGGCTATGCCTTGTCCTCAGAGGTGGAGTATACAGTGGCAGGTAGGCCTCCTTGAGCTGTGGTGGGCTCCACCCAGTTCGAGCTTCCTGGCCACTTTGTTTACCCCTCAAGCCTCAGCAATGGTGGGCACCCCTCCCCTAGCCTCGCTGCCATCTTGCAATTAGATCACAGACTGCTGTGCTAGCAATGAGGGAGGCTCAGTGGGCATGGGACTCTCTGAGCCAGGCACAGGATATAATCTCCTGGTGTGCCGTTTGCTAAGACCCTTGGAAAAGCATAGTATTAGGGTGGGAGTGACCTGATTTTCCAGGTGTTGTGTGTCATGGTTTCCCTTGGCTAGGAAAGGGAATTCCCTTACCCCTTGCACTTCCCAGGTGAGGTGATGTCTCGCCCTGCTTCACCTCTCGCTCGGTGGGCTGCTCTCATTGTCCTGCACCCACTGTCCAACACGCCCCAGTGAGATGAACCCTGTACCTCAGTTGGAAATGCAGAAATCACCTGTCTTCTGCTTCGCTCATGCTGGGAGCTGTAGCCTGGAGCTGTTCCTATTCTGCCATCTTAGATTCAATCTACTTTTTGAGATCAGGCATAATGACTGATTCATTTGTATATTCCCAGCAGCCATCTGGGTGTGTGTGTGTGTGT